ATCATCATCAGCAGCATCAGCATCATCACCATCATCATCTCCATCATCATTAGCAACAGCATCATCATAAGCATCATCAGCATCAGCATCACCATCAGCAGTAACATCATCTTCTCCTCGTCCTTTTTCGGGGGGTAAGCTGCGAAACGCGAACACCTGGAGCGTAAGACTCCTCCTCCACCTCCTCCTCCTCCTCCTCCGCCTGCTCCTCCTCCTGCCTGTCCTCCTCCTCCTGCGTGTCCTCCTCCTCCTGCACTTCCTGCTCCTCCTCCTCCGTCTCCTCTTCCTCCTCCTCCTCCTCCGTCCTCCTCCTCCTCCTTCTCCTCCTCCCTCCTCCTTCCTCCCGCACCTCCTCCCTCCTCCCTCCTCTCCTCCTCCCTACTACCCCCTTCCCTCCTCCCTCCTCCCTCCTCCCTCCTCCCTCCTCCTCCCTCCTCCTCCTCTTCCTCCTCCTCCTCTTCCTGCCCCTCCTCGAAGCTCTTAGCTGCGAAATGGTATGGGTGGTCAAGCCCTGGCGCCCTAGGTGGCCCTCCAACCAGCTGGTGCTGGAGAGGGCAAATCGAACCAAGAGGTAAGGAGGGGAGAGAGAGAGAGAGAGAGAAAGAGAGAAAGAGAGAGAGAGAGAGAAAGAGAGAGAGGGGGAGGGGGGACGAACACCGATGACAATGAAATACCCGAAACGGAAGCGGCGGGGGGTGGGAAGTGAGGCTGTGGCGGCCCGTGCGCGTGTGGCCGGTGTGGCCCGAGCGTGGGTCCCAACCCGTTGAGGGGGGGGGGGCGAGGGGGGCTGGAGCCCACCTCGCGTCGCCCGTCCTGTAATGGGGGGCGCCCGAGGCTCCCAAGGTCCAGAGAGGCGCGCGGGGTGGAGGTGAGTGCGACGCGGCGGCACGCAGCAGGAGTGTGCCGTGTGGGCAGAGGGTGGGTGGAGTAGGCGCGGGCGGTGAGCGTAGAAACGAGGGGCGGAATCTGCAGCGAGCCCGTGAGGAGGGCACGCACGAGAGGTGGGAAAACATGCACGGGAGGGGAGAGAGGATGCGGCCCGGGCAGGACAACCGCCCCCCGAAGCGGGGGAGCAGGGGCCCCCTCGGCGCGGCTCTGAGTGCTAAGAGGCGGTGGCTGCACGGCCCCTGCGGGAGCTGCGCTGCCCAGGGGCAGCAGCGGGGCGAGGGAAAGGAGGCTAGCGGGCGAAAGGCGGGGGAGGAGGCGGGGCTGTGGGGCAAGGAGAGGAGGAGAGGGAGGTGTCGGTTAGTTCGGGCTTGAGGCTCCCCAGAGGAGGTGGTGGCCAGGGTGGAAGTAGGAGGCAAGGTCATCGAAGAAGCCAAGGTGCCTCGAGCTCGGAGGAGCGCCAAAGGTGGATGCAGGCGGCGTGGTGCGGAGGCGGTGACGACGAGGCTCGTGGAGCGCAAGGCATGGCAGGGGTAGGAGTGGGCACAGCGTGAGCGGTGTTGGGACTCCGCTTGCGTCACGCGGGAGGCGGTGCGAGTGAGCAGGTGCTGTTGCGCCGCCTCGCGTCATCTGGTGCTGCTGCTGACGTGGTGGCAGTGAGTGCGCAGTCCATGAGAGCTGTGGAGTCGAGCTGGTAGGATTAGAGGTTGGAGTCATGGCTGCCGTCGCTGGACCCCGTGTCCGCAGCTGGGTTGCGATTGAGCTCGTTCTGGTCGGTCCGGCGGTGCTTGGTCCTCTCGTAGATGGCGCGGTACATGATGTCGTATACTGCCCTGCGGTATTCGCCCGGGTCGCCCGTGTCCATGGTGCGGCACAACTCGACAGGAGCGACTGTGATGACGTTGAAGATATATATATATATATATATATATATATATATGAAATTGTACATGCCGAAGCCCCGGATGTCGGAGTCAACGACATAGAAGTGGCCAAAGGCCGGCCACCCCTCCTGCAGTGAATCACTGGCCGGCTCTTCTTGGAAGAGCGTGCCACATCCTGCCGTGAAACACTGGCCAGCTCTTCTTGGAAGAGCGCGCCACCTGGGGCCGGGGCCCCCCTTCCGCCTCCGCCACCTCCTCCTCGCCTTCGCCCTCCTCGCCTTCCTCAACCTCCGAGTTGCTTGTCGCCCTCCTCCTCCGCCAGCCTCCTCCCGGGTCTCGCCCGCTTCGCCCTCCTACGTCCCCTCCGTGCAAATCGCCCTCCGTACTCGTACTCGATAATGCGGCCCCGTACTCGATAATGCGGCTTGGGTCGAGTCCTTCAGCGCCGCGGCGCGGTGAGGCAGGATCTTCTCCCTGTTCGTGCGCCTGGCGCGTCGCTTCGCCCTGTGTCCTCTTGCCCCGCGCCCAGTGGCCCGTCGGTGTCCAAGCCCTGGGCTTGGGGGGTGACTCGATCCATGTGATGCGTGTGTGCTCGCCTTTGCTGCTAATGTTCAAAGAGATGTCCGTGTACTTGTCCCAGGGGCTGCAGCCCTTGCAGGCCTTACAGAGCTGGTTGATGTCGCCTTCGGGGTGGTCCATGGACGTCCTAAGGAAGAGTGCGACTGGGACACCTTGTATATGTACGTGAGCGTCTTGGCGTCGACGTGCGCTGTCGATGGTCGGGATGGTCTCGGTGGTTTCGGTGTTGGGTCCGATGGGCGCAATCTCCTCGTGCTGGTCGACGTGGTCCTAGCTGCCATGTACCTTCATCAGGACTCGCATCCGTAGGCAGCTGTCCAGTGGATTGGCTCTGTGTGGGACTGGAGGTTGTTGTCGGCGGGCGTTGGTGGCGGCGCTTTTTGATGCGGTGGTGGCAGTAGGGTTGCTGGCGGCGTCGGCGTAGCCGTGTGAGTATCGTCGATGCAGGAGCTCCTTGATGATGTTCGGCTTCCGTTCTCTGTCTGTGTAGGGCTCCTCTTGGGTATAGCGATGGTGTGAGCCTTGTAGCGTGCTGGCTTTGTCTGGTCGGTCGGCGCATGCGCGTCGCTGGCGGTGTCCGTCGTTGGCGCGGTGACCTGCCATGGGGCTACGGGTGCAGCTTGTATCTGCGACGCCTTGGGAGTGATTGCGCTCTTGTTGTGTGCTTTGCTTGCTGCGGCCCGTCGGCGGTGAGGACTTCGTTGTTGCGAGGTGGCACCTGATCGTAGACGGCATCCTATTCTATGCTGTCGCGTGTGATGATGTCGGTGGGGGTGCACTTGTTATATCTTCCTTGCTTGGTGTTGTCCTTCATGCACCATCGTGACCCGCAGTCCCTGTAAACTGTTTTAGGTTCGCTTGCAGCTGGAGTCAGGGTGTCGGGGCCGGATCCTAGGTTGTGGCTCTTCATGCGTAGCTTGCCAGCGCCGTCTTGGATGCTCCACAAAGTTTCCTAGAGCCGTCCCGTGCTGATGGTGCCCGCGATCATGTCCATTGCTTTGTCGCATGCCACCAGCGCGGTTTGTAGCACTGGGCTGCAAAAGTTCATGTTTGTGAGGGACGAAGCTGGGCCTCGGCGGCTGAGCTGGTAGATGGCGTAGATGACTGTCTTGATGACCTTCTTGCGGAACTCCGCTTCGTTGTTGTAATTGCTCTTGTGTCGCACTGCGTGTATCTGCTCAGGGTGGCGTGACGTCGATGACCTCGTTGGCCTTCGCGGGTTGTGGTCCTGGTCGGAATGGTGGTCTGGACTCGTCGCCGTCGGTCTTGTGTGGCGGATGGGGGCAGATGATGTAGTCGCCCGTGGTCGCATTGCGGTACCTGCAGGTCTCCTGGATGTCGTTGGTGAGGTGCCTTACCCATGGCGTTCGTAACCTCAATTTCTCTGGGAAGTCCCATGTGAATTCCTTGGCCTGCAGATTGTGGCAGTATGTCGCAGCCACGTCGTCCTTGGGGTACGCTCGTCATGGATATAGCAGCTGCATGTGGTGTAACTGCAGCGCTGGCACGTGGGCTTACCAGCCGATCAACAGGTCAACAGACAAAAGTACGTTCCGAGGCTGTTTGGTTGGCCTCCTTGGCTCCTTCGCATCAACTAGCGATGGCCAGCTTTCTGCCTTCATAGCTTGCCACTCCTTTGAACAGGCGGGGGTTAGTTTGGAGCCACAGGCCATGGCAGCGCTGGACGAACGGGCTGCTCCCACCTTCTTCCAACATCTCCTCCCTGCTCCCCCTTCTTCACTCCCCTGTTTGGCCCCTTAATCGCACATGTTCCCGCTTCCCTCGTCCGCCTGCTGCTCCTCCGCCTCCCCCTGCATTCCGTCTTCCATCTTCCCTCTTGCATCCTCCCCTCTTCCCGCCCCTCCTCCATGATCCTACTCCTCCCTTGAGATTCACACCGTCTCCCTCTTCCTTCCTCCTCCTCCTCCTCCTCCTCCTCCTCCTCCTCCTCCTCCTCCTCCTCCTCCTCCCCCTTCGCTTCGTCCTTATTGTCATCCCCATCCTCGTCTTCCTCGTCTCCCTCCTCATTCTCACAAGCCTTCATCTTGCCACTCCTCCTCCTCCTCCTCCTCCTCCTCCTCCTCCTCCTCCTCCTCCTCCTCCTCCTCCTCCTCCAACTCTTCCTCCTCCTCCTGTTCGCTGTGCGCTGTTGACTCCAGGGTCGAGATCGCCCCCCCCCTCCAGGGGCCGTTGCCCCTGAGGGGGGCTCACGACTACTAGAACATGTGGAAGAACCGGTGACAGAAAACATAACGTGAAAGGCACGAGGGGAAAGGAGAGGAGGACGACGCAACGGCGGCGACGAAGGGCTGCGACTCTTCCGCGTCCTCCTCCTCCATCCCGTTTCCCTATGAGCAACTCCTCCTCCTCGTCGCACCCCTAGGCGCCTCCGCAGAGCGGCTCGGGCGTCGACCCGCGAGGCAGCTTCACGGATGGCAGGCGGGCCGCCTCCAAAATGTGGCTCTCGCCGTCGCGCCGCGCCGCGCAGCGGTGTCGCGGATGGGTCGCGGGCGGCTTCCCACACGCGGCTCTCGCCTCCGCGCCGCGCGCGTCCACTGTGTCGTCAATTTTTGTGCAGCAGGTCCACGGGAGGAGGGCCTGGTGGTCTTCAGCGTGTGGCGCTCGCCGTCGCGGCGCTCGCGCTGATCTCGACAGTCTGCGAGGGCTCCCAACGTCGCGCTTCGCGCTGCGCGAGGCGAGAAGTGCGGAGAACTTCGCGCTCTCGCGCCGCCTCCCAGGGGAGAAGGGGGGGACGAGGCGGAATCGGAGCCGAGCCGCGAAGCGCGAAGCGCGAATAACTTTGCGCCCTCGAGGGCGCCCTTGGTTTGTGATAGTTACACGGATGGAAGGCGGATGATGTTCAAAATGTGGCTCTCGCCGTTGCGCCGCGCGCACTGGTCTGAACAAAGTACAACAGTCTCGAGAAGACGCATGGCTGAAATCCCAGGAGTGCTGCTCTGGGACGACCTAGAATTCTCAAGAAGCAACAGTCAAGTTGATTCGCAGTGGTGAAGTCCCAGGCATGGTGTTCTGTCACGATTGAGTACTCTCCGGACGCAGCAATCACCTTGACCCGCGGCGCTGACGTCCCAGGCACATACTTCGGTTCGTTTCAAGAGTATCAAACGGATGTCTTTCAATGGGCCACTTCCCGATAACAAAAAAAAAAAAAAAAAAAAATGTAGGGACCTTTGGAAAAAAAGAACTCGGCGGGAGACGTCTAATGCAACATCGTTGGCGCGTCTTGGGTTTACTCTGGTCCTCTTCCTCCTCCCACTTCTCGTGCTCATCCATCCCCATCCTCCTCCCCCTCCTCCTCCATTCCTTGTGCTTCTGAATAACTACTCCCTGTCGAACCCCCAAAGCCAATTTTTAGAGCGGGCCAGGCGTTTCGCCTGAGACGTCCTCACCATGTACGATTCTGAAGCTTAAACAGCGGCAACATTTCACAGATGGAGGGCGGGTGGTTTTCAAAATGTGGCTCTCGCCTTTGCGCCGCGCACATTCGTTCCAAAAAAATACCAGAGTTTCACGGATTGCGGACCATCCATTTTCAAAATGCGGTTCTCGCCTTAGCGCCGCGCGCATTCGTTTTAAACACTTGCAAGAGCTTCACGGATTGAGGATCACCCGTTTTCGAAATGTGGCTCTCGCCGTAGCGCCACGCACATTCGCTCATACAAATTGCAAGAATTTCGCGGATTGAATGCGGCTCCTTTTCAAAATGTGGCTCTCGCCTTAGCGCCGCGCGCATTCGTTCATACAATTTGCAAGAGTTCCACGGATTCCCACGATGAACGTACCAGAAGTGGTGTTTGGGAAAGATTCACGATTTTGCGGGCGCAACAGTTACGTTGATTCGCGGTGTTGAAATCCCAAGAATGGCGTTCTGGCACGATCCAGGATCGCCAAGACGCAACAGTCAGGTTGATCCGTGGCGTTGGAATCCCGAGAGCAATACCTTGGCATGCTTCTGGATCTTCAAGCGGTTGTCTTCTTCTTCCAACGAAGCAGAGTGGAATGCCCCGTTGTAGGGGCCTACGAAGAGGGAGCTTGGAGGGAGGGTGTATTCCAACATCGTTGATGGCTCTTGGGTTTACACTGGTCCTCCTCCTCCTCCTCCTCCTCCTCCTCCTCCTCCCCTCCTCCTCCTCCTCCTCCTCCATCCCTCACCGCACCCCCATCCTCCTCGTCCTCGTCCCTCCTCCTCCCTCCTCACTCCTCCTCCTCCTCCACCGTCTTCTCCTCCGTCTCCATCCTCCTCCTCCTCCTCCTCCCTCCTCTCCTCCTCCTCCTTCTCCTCCTCCTCCTCCTCCTCCTCCCTCCTCCTCCTCACTCTTCCTCCTCCCTCCTCGCCCCACTTCCCAGCAACCCCCAGCCCACCATGCCCTCCCCCCGGGGCCGCGCGGCGCCCTCCTGTGCGGCGTCATGCTCCCATGCGTCCGGGCGCCGACTGCGCGCAGAAGCCCGGCGCCCCGGCGCCCCGGAGCCCCCGTGCTGCGAGGGTGGTGCAGTAACCTGATATGGAGGTGCAGACCTCGAGCCGCGGCCGCGGGTCGACGGGGCAGATGCCCTGCGCCCCTCCTCCCCCCACCCTGGTCCTCCATCCTCCTCCTCCTCCCACCTCCTCCTCCTCCTCTCCTCCTCCGTCTCTTCCTCCTCCTCCTCCTCCCCCTCTTCCTCTCCTTCCTCCTCCTCCTCCTCCTCCTCCTCCTCCTCCTCCTCCTCCTCCTCCTCCTCCCTACTCCTCCCTGCTTCGTTTCATTATCCTCCATCTCCACCATCACCTCCTCCGTCTCCATCATCAATCCTTCTCCTCGCTCCTCCGCTCCTCCTCTCACCTCCTCCTCCACCTCCTCCTCCTCCTCCTCTCCTCGCTCCTCCTCCTCCTCCTCCTCCTCCTCCTCCTCCTCCTCCTCCTCCCTCTCCTCCTCGTCCCTTCTCTCTTCTCTCTCCTCTCCCTCCTCTGTCCGTTGCCTCATAGATAACTCTTCCCTTCGCGTCCCCCAGACGTGTCGGTAGGGTTGACCGTTCCACGTCTGGTCATGAACTTTGAAGTGTCCAGCGTTCACACGAGAGGAGGGGGGGTGGATCATCCTAGGGGTTCTCGCCTGAACGCCAAGCGCATGCATCTGAAACGCTTGCAAGAGTTACAAGGATGGAGGGGTGATGGTAGTCTTCGAAATAGGGTTCCCACCCCAGGGCTACGTTCGTTCGACCTTGAATACTGCAGCGTGTGCCAGGATAGAAAGGGGTGGTCTGCAAAAAGGGGCTCTCGCCTCGATGCCGCACACATTCGTTCGAAAGTGTCCCACAACTAGCTGGCTGGAGGGAAGTGCATTCGATTTGTGGCGCTCACCGCACATTAGCCTTCAAAGCGTGCAGCAGTTCTTGGCTCTCGAGACTTCTATCCTCGAAAACAACAAGGACAGACATAACCAGAAACCCGCTGTCCCTCACAGGGGGGCTATCCCATACGCGCGACACACGGACAAGCGAGCACAATGAGACACGAGCATTGCAAGTCGTAGTAAGACATCGCATCGCGATGGGAAGAACTCGGTGGCTGAGCGCCTGCAGCTGGGACCAGGCAGAGCGACCAACAAACTGATACAAAGACTCCAAGAAGGAAGCAGATAAGGAGGAAGAGACAAAAACGGTGTGTGTGTGTGTGTGTGCGTGTGCATCCCATGTGGTCCATTCGACCACGTATACAATCGAGACACACAACACCAATCAAGAGAGAGAGAGAGAACGCGCAGCACGAACCTGGCTAACGTCAGCGCAGCGTCGCAGACGATGGCAGACAGAACCCGAATCCCCACCACGATGAAGACGGACGCAGGACGAGAGGGCACCAACGGATGGGGAGGGCAGACAGCGGAAGACAGCAACGGCGCCCGCGGAAAGCCTCGGTGCCGGAGCAGAGGCACCAAGCCCACAGGGCCGGCGGAGCGCACAACAGGCAAGCCTACGCTGCCGAGCCGCGAGCAGTAAGCCGAAGGTCGTGCCCCCCCTCCGAGGGGGGGCCGAGGGCCGACGAGCCGCAGGACGCCAGCGCCACGGACGACCTGCCCGTCGGACGGCGAGGAGGCCCACGCGTGGAGGTCGAGAGAGCACACACACCTCAAAGAGGAGCATCAGCCAAGTGGACTAGCTGTACGACCTGCGCGTGCACACAGCGACCACCGGTGAAAAATCAGAAGCGAGCAGCACGCGGGAGGGAGGAGAGGGGAGGAGATGTTTTTTGTTCTTTTTCTTTGAAATAAAAAACAATATAAAAAAAAGAGAGGAGAGGGGAGGAGGTGGGCACCTGCGCTCTCGCGAAGGGCGCTCCGACCCCTACGGCGGCGAGATCCGCATCGCGGCACCGCGCATCGGACGAGGAGCGAGGAGCGAACCATTGCAGCAGGGGGCGCCTTCCGCGAAGCTGCGGAGCCTCACCTCCAGCCGGCCGAGGCGCTAGACCAGGCGCACTCCGAGGGAGAGGGGAGGGAGAGGCGGAGGATGGAGGAGGGCAGGTCCTTTTCAAAGTGGGACTCTCGCAGCGCACAGTCGCCTGGAAAATTCCCAGCAGCTTCGGCAATAGAGGGCGGGCCGTGCGGCTTCAAGAATTCGTATGGTTGAAACCCAGGAGTGGTGGTCTGGCATTTCGGATTGTTTAGACGCAATCGTTTCGTTGATTCGCGGTGTTGACGTCACAAGAACGGCGTCCTGGCACGATTTAAGATGGTCGGAACGCGACAGTCACGTGGATTCGCGGCGCTGATGTCCCAGGAATCACGTTTTGGCGCGACTGAAAACTCTCAGACGGTTGCCTTCTACCAAAGAACAGAAAAAAACAACAAAGTATAGCTACCACAAAAATACCAACCAATAACCAATACCACCACACACAACAGCAATGGAGCAAAGCTTCCCGCAATGAGCACCATGTCTTAGAAAGGGCCCATGAAACGGGAACTTGGAAGGAGAGAATCTTGCCAACATCGATGACAGCGTCTTGGTTGCACTGGTCCTCCCTCCTCCTCCTCCTCTTTTATCCTCCTTGCCCCCCTCCTCCTCCTCATCCTCCCCCTCCTCCTCCTCCTCCTCCTCCTCCTCCTCCTCCTCCTCCTCCTCCTCCTCCTCCTCCTCCTCTCCTCCTCCTCCACCGCCTCCCCCTCCTCCTCCTCCTCACCCCCTCTTCCCCTCCTCTTCCTCCTCCTCCACCTCCTCCTCCTCCTCCTCCCTCCTCGTTCCACCTCCTCCTCCTCCCCTATCCTCCTCCTCTCCTCCTCCTCCCCCTCCTCCTCCTCCTCCTCCTCCTCCTCCTACTCCGGGACCTGGCAAAGGGAGCGGGTAGCGGGTGTACCCCCCCCAAATGGAGCACCACGCCAGCCCTTGGAGGGCCGGCGTGCCGCGCGGCAAGCGCTCCTGCTGTGCACTCCTGGTATCCGCGCCAGGTCCCTCCCCCCGTCGTTTCGTCGTCTCCTACGGCCTCAGAGGGCTCCTGATCTTCCTGCTCCACCCCCACAATACCACCCACCTCTCCTCCTTCCTCCTCCTCCTCCCCTCCTCCCCCTCCAACCTCCTCCTCCTCCTCCTCCTCATTCCTTTCCTTCCCTCTTCCTCCTCTTCATCCTCCTCCTCCTCCTCCTCCTCCTCCTCCTCCTGCTCCTCCTCCTCCTCTTACTCCTCCTCCCTCTTCGTCGTCCTCCTCCTCCTCCTCCTTCTCCTCCTCTTACTCCTCCTCCCTATTCGTCCTCCTCCTCCTCCTCCTCCTCTTCCTCCTCCTTCTCCCTCTTCGTCCTCCTCCCCTCCTCAGGCAGAAGGCGCTCAGGCAGAAGGCGCTCACGCCGAATTGCACCGCCCCGAATGCCGAGACCTCTCCCGTGATCGATCCATCGAGGATCGAGGCTGCAATTTCCGGCAGTTCGTCGCAGGCTTTCCAGCGCTCCCCAGGGGTGCCCGGCTCGCTCCGCCGGCGGCCCGAGCTATGGCCCGAGTGCTCGTCCACGGCAGACCTTCAAGACGACGCGGCTGGCGCAGCGAGAGCCGACACACTGCTGCGTGCTGGCGGCGGAGCTGCACGGGGCAAGCGCGCACCGGGCTGAGGCACGCCGTGAGGGTCACCGAAACGAGTCCTCCACCCTCCCTCCCTCCCTCCCTCCCTCCCTCCCTCCCTCCTCCTCCTCCTCCTGCTCCTGCCCTGCCTCCTCCTCCTCCTCCTCCTCACCTCCTCCTCCTCCTCCTCCTCCTCCTCCTCCTCCTCCTCCTCCTCCTCCTCCTTCCTCCAGGGTCACTCGTCCACTGCGCTGGGCTGCGCCGAGGCAAGCATGAGTCCCGTCCATGTCTGCAGCTGTCTTGGGCCCATCCCGGCTCTCCGCTTTGGAGGAGCACACGGGTGTACTGCCTTCGGGGACATCTTCTTAAGCACTGGCCTCACCTCCCCATCGTGTGGGTTTGGCCCCTCTTTTCCGGCCTCGTGGGAGAGCAGAGAGCGCCGTATGCGCAGGTCCCGCTGCGAGACTGCTGCCCGTTCGAAGGCAGGTTGGACGAGAATGCCGGGCGATTTGAATACAACGCGGAGGAGGCTCCGCTGTCAAGTGGGTCGCTCCCAAGCGTGTATCTTCATCGGGCGACCGCGCGCACTTTCTTGATCCCCCTCCGCATGGTCACCTTGCTCTCTGCTGTATGGTCTGGTGCCCGTTCCCCCTGCAACTGAGGGATGGCCCGGCTGCCGTTTGGAGCACTGGAGCACGTGAGTGGTGGCTCTGGAAGCATCACAGCGAGGGTAGGGACGCGGTAACTCACCCACCTGTTATCTTGATTCGTGCTCCTCCTCCTCCTCCTCCTCCTCCTCCTCCTCCTCCTCCTCCTCCTCCTCCTCCTCCTCCTCCTCCTCCTCCTCCTCCCCCCCCTCTCCCCCTCCTTCCCTCCTCCCCTTTCTCCTTCTGGATTTCTCCTTCTCCCCTTCTCCTCCCACCTTCTCCGCCATCAAGCATATGTGGCCCAGGGTCCCGCAAGCATCTTGGCTAATCCCTTGGCCTTGAGTCGCACCTCAATGCCCCAACGAGGCGCTTGAGTGGCAACTCGTCTCCAGTGCCCGTATACTGTCAATCGGTATGGCCCATTCGAGGCGAAATAACACGTGTTCTGCTCATTGCGGATGTACAAGTAAGGTAGGCGGCCGGGCATTGGTCAGAGGCAAGACAGCTAGGATAATTGCATCACACCGTTTCAGTTTTCTGCGCTGTGACTTCAGAATGGGATGCTTTTGGTAAAAGCACATACTGGGATCTGGCAGTAAGTATTTCGCCCCCCCTGGCGGTCGGAGAGCTAGAGGTTCGCCAGGGTGGCTCACCGCCAGAGGTTGTGAGGCTTGTTGCTTCAGCGCTTATCTTCTGTTGTGCATTATTTGGGCCTGGGCTGTTGCCCAGATTTGGGATTTGTTGGTGTGTCTCTCGTCCTCTTCGGTGGTCGGAGAGCCAGGGGTTGGCATACACTTCAATACCTTTCTTTTGTTGTGCTGCTACACTGCTGGGATCAACCCGCCTGG